TCTATCTTCTTTGAAATCCGGAAATGTTGGGTAGTGCAACATAACAACACTAAAGCCCGTTTCCTTGTTTACATAGACAATTTTCTGTATAACCTCTATATTGCAACATTTTTAAATCGCTACTCTGAAAGTGCCGTTCTTTTGTAAACAAAAACTGCGCGTCTGCTCAAAAGTGAAAATAATTGATACCGAAAGCCACCATGCTTAATGAATTGCATCTCAAAACGCGGCACTTCTGGGTGACGAAAATTGCATTGAATTGCGTGACAGACGTAAAGTCACCTGTGTTACAAATCAATCATATGACGATATAACGAACATTTTGGTCGTTTCCCCTCAAATTCGTTATAACGAGGTTTTCGATATAACGAACCCTCGATTTAACGAACAAATTTGGCCGGTCCCTAGTGACTTCGTTAAATCGAGGTTCCACTGTATACACAAAACAAAGCAGCAAAACTCATTTGTATAGAAGAAAAAGTTATGATTCGGTTAACTTTTAATCCTGGGTTAGCGTTACTGCGCCTTTCAATAATGTGCGGACTCTAAAATTCAAAGCTCAATCGACAAATCGTTTTTCGCTACCGTCAATCAAGTGTTCGGCGGCTCCTCCCAGTTTCCGACTACTGCCGATCGCGCGGTAATCAAATCGTTGAGCACAGTTCAGACAACGGAACAGTGCTTGGCAGTAGTCGGAAGCTGGGGAGGAGCCGCCGAACATTTGATTGACGGTAGTGAAAAACGCATTTGTCGGTTGAGCTTTGAATTCTAGAGTCCGCATGTTATTGAAAGGCGCAGTAACAGGCTTCCGAACAATCATGCCCTGTTTTCAACAAGTTAAGCTTACATGAGCCCGCGATCCAATCGAAAAACCAGCACTTGGTCAGTGGTCAACTTCAAAAATACACGTGACCTCGATGACTTGTAAACTTGAGCCCGCGATATGGTCACGTGATACTGGTCAGCGGATACCTTGTTTTGACAGGTGTCAATTGATCATAACAGGGACGTCCAATATCAAAGAAGTACACGGTAAACCGAGGCTGCATGTCTCTGTCAACCTTTTATTTGGAGTATGGCCGCCATGTTGCGTGACTTCGTCGCCGTCGTGCGTACGCGCCCACGAGCAATGCCGCTAGCCATGATAACCAAACTCAACTCATGAGTTTCCTTTTCTTTCCTATTTGAGTATGGAGTTCCGCTTGGGGGCCCTTCGGGCCGCCTGAGCTACGCTATAATTTTCTCTAAACGTCTGGAACTTCTGGACTATTTGTCTGTTGTCTCAAGTGTTCGAGTCCGGCCGGCCTTTTAGATTGCGACCTGGTCTGTCAGGGACATAGTGAAACACTAGTCTGTTAATTTTAACACAATTGCTACTAATCTCGCAATCTGATAGGCTAATTTGTCGTTGTCGATAAGAGTCCAGACAACGCTGCTTGCGTCCGATGTGTCACGCTCTTGGTCACCCTCTGAAAAAAACACATTTTCTTTGACGTTGATTTTATCTGTTGTGGACTCACTTGGCTGCGCCTCGTGAGTCCACAACATTTTGACCACTGTGATGACGCATATCGTTGTCGATAAGAGTACAGACAGCGCTAAACCACTTTCGATTTGTTAACTCGAATAAGGCGTCCTTGAGTACCTCAGTTTCGGTACGCGGCGCGCCACATATGCTACTGAGCTCTTGTTCGGACGAAGTTTTGCCCTAGCATTTGCTTCTTTGAAAAAAGCTTTTAAAATTTGCTAACATAATTGTCTGTATATAATCATGATAATCTGGTTTAAGACTCGATAAAGAATTTTTTTTCCAATTAACTATGTGAATAGTTTAAAACGTGTCTACTGATAAATTAATCCTCGACAATATTTGGTTGTAATTGACAATCGAATTGAGACAAGAATTCAAGAACGTAAATTGGAAAAATTTCGCAGTGAGGCAAAGTAAAAATTGATTAATTAAACGACGTTAAACCTTCTTTTAAGAAAAAAAAATTGAAAAAAAATTGAATTGAGAAGCGCAGTTTTGTTTATTATCGCAGCAATTACGAGATAATCAGCCATCCTAGCAATCGGCAAATGTAAATTACCTTCGTTGAATGTAAAATATTTCCTCTCTTATTAAAATCCACTCGCGAATTCTGAAGACTTTGATTAAGTCGCAATTGATGTACTGCTTTACAAGAAAACGAAGGCCTCTTTATTCGGAATTCCCTATAGACGCATATCCTGACAGGTGCGTCCAAAAATACGAAAGCAACTGACATCCATCTTATTGTGTTGGTCTTAATTACTTTCTCCAGGAAATGAACTCCTTCTTTTCTGTTCATGGAAAAATCGAACGAAAAAGGGAGGTGTTTACTCAGGGTAGATCAAGACCTTTTTTTTTTGGAAAAAAAAAAGACTGAATTTGCATGCTTGCATGCATGTTTAGTTCATGTAAGAATTTAAAATTTGGCGTCGAATATTAGAGACAAAGATGGTAGTCGAATAAAATTAGCAAATTTTTCGTTCAATTTTTTTCAAGAACCGAACTCTCATGATTAAATAGACGGAAATAATTGCTTGTGAATTGCAATATCAGCTTTAATAATTTTCCTTATTTTCTGTATATTCTCAAAATGTGAGTAAAAATTTCACAATTCTCAGGGGACTAGGAGGAAGGCATTAAAATTTTAACACTAAAACAAATTAATTAAGAAATCATGAAATAAAACTTATGAACCATTAGTGTTAAACAAAAAACTAGAATGTCGAATGTCCTCAGCAACAGCGTCCCATAATATTTAATTTGCGCAAATGCAAACAAAGAATGAGATTTTGACTAATCCTGACTGCAATTTGTAATATCTTCCATGCGGCAATTTGCAAATTATATTGTATTCCTTTGTCCTTTGGTTCATCATTATGACTTTCTATAAAGTCTAGGAATCAAAAGGACATCAAGGTTCAATCTTTCCGTATAGAATTTACCGTGCATGGAATAAATGCTGACTAAAACTACGCCCAAAGCAAATACATCGCTTCTCGCTCGGCTTGATTATAAACTGAAAAGAGGCAAGTTTCTCCAGAGATTGCCACATAACATAACTTTATTGAACTCCGCACATACATAGCTCTGTTTTGGTGTGTCTTTCAAGTCGCTCAAGCTAGTTTAAAGGCATATCATTTGACTAAAACGTAAACAATATGACTGGAAAACTGATCAAATTTACACTTTCTCTAGCTAAATATTCTCTTATGCAATCCATACATTTCGATTATATTACATTTTCTTATAAGTGAGTATTATAATTTAAAACATCATTGTTGACATGTTGTTGAAGAGTTCATTTCTCTATCTCTCGCCACTACCACAGCTACTTTTGGAATATTTACTGGCCTCTGTTTTAGCATTTTGTAATAAAGAAAGGGATTCACTACGTAGTTAAAATTCGACACTGCTAAGGTAATAATGAGAGCTCCAACCAGTATGTCGTCGGAATTTCTGCCAAATTGAGCTAGAGGAAAGCAGACAAACAGGGGCAGCCAACACACAAGAAAAACACCACAGATCTTGTAAGTCAGCCATGTTAGTTTGTTTTCTTGGCGCCTGTGTTGGCTTCTTGCTTCTGGTAAGGGAGAGGAACGCAGTCTTTTTACAATGCGAAGTGCTGCTATGACAATAATTAAGACGCAAACCACGTTAAATGATACCGTGAGAATACTGAGGTAAACATAAATTGGATCGCTTCCTTCTATCTTGGAAATAATGTCACATTCTTCAGATTCGCGAAAAAACGTGTATACAATTATGGCAGATGTTAAAACTGATGTCCCTATCCACGAGATTGCTATAACTTTGGTGATATTGCGTTTTGACATGCGTCGGTTAAATGGTCTCAGGACACAGTCTTGTCGGTCGATCGCCATCAATGATAGCGTCACAGCATTGAGAATACTACAAGCAAAACTGCTTGGTACAAGAATATGACAAGCGACTTCAGCAGACACTGGGATGTCCAAGAGATGAACCATCACAATCATGGCTAAACGAGATGGCAAATTCAGCAGACACGAGAAAACTCCATTCACGGCAAGGCTGGCAAGTAAATAGTGTGGAACCTTACGCAGATCTGAGCGCTTCCTGAGGAGAAAGCAAACTCCTGCGTTTCCAAGAAATCCAAGTAAAATGGCGATTGTTGACAATGTCATGTCAGCGATAATAATGCCTGGAGCGGTTATTAAACCGCGGTTTTCTGAAGTTGAGCGATTCATTTGAATTCATAAACTGAATTTCTGTAGTTATTTGCTCGATCAGTTCAGCTCAATTTTTGCGAAGACTTGATGAGTATGAGATCAACTCTTATTCTGCCACTAAGTTTCCGCTTTACAACTTTCCCTCTTTTAGTGTTCACGTTCTTCACAGTTAACCTTAAGGCCACCCTATTAAATCACTGGGACATTAGGACAAATAGCAGGTCCTGTCAGGAAAAAACTGTGGCGTAGATTTTCTCATGTTGCCTCAGTTATTCGTCTGCAGATGGTTCAGGCTTACGTGCGACGAAAAGAATGTAGTAATCAGCCATTGACTCTAGTATGTATTGTATGAAGTGTCGGCAAAGGTAAAAAGAACAATATTTGCAGCTGCAACAATCACTCTCATTTTCAGGACTCGATGGTACCAAACCCAGGTTTTATCTCGGTATCCGCTCAATGAAAGATTCACAAAACTGGCTCTTGCTGTTTCATCAATCAATCAATCAATCTTTATTTGTACTCATTCTTGCTCAAAATAAAAAATTACAACAAAGAAAATAATAACAGTAAAAATTAGAGTACTAGCTGCCTGAGCTGAATAACCATAGGGGCTAGCGGAGTCAGGCACGGCCAGTTAACATCAGCATTAAATAGAAATAAAATACAGGTCAGCAAGAAAACTGAAGCACAAATCCGCACATACGAAGAAAAAAAGAGGAGGAAAAACGCTCTTTCTACGCTATGAAGGAAGTCTATAAATTTATGTATGATTTATATATCGAAGATTAATCGAAAAAGATGCACAAAATAAGAAATTAAGTTGAATCCATCTCATTTTTTAAACATTTTGTATCATCGCTGATACATGTTGAGATATTAAAATATAGGTCCGCAATTGCTACGTATATTGCTTTCTAGTTTATTGCAGTAGCGTACATTATGATGGTAGTAAAACTAGTTCCATGTTTTGGTCTTAGGTACGGGTTTTGAAAATAGAAATCGTTCTGAAAATTTGCCAAACCAAGCCTTTAACATTGCATATTAATGCGATTTTAGTTCCTTTTTTTACTGATTTATTAGCAGCTTTTTCACAGCAGCAACGGTTAGGTTATTGAAGGATGCTAAATTAAAGTAGAATCATTTCTCAAAATCTCTCTCTAGTGTTTCAATTATTAATATATGGATGGACTTCTTTGAGGTGACGATTTTGGAAAAGCTTGTTCAAGGAAGCTTTAAATGATACGACGATGTTGCCGAGTGTTCTGTGGGATTTGTACAATTTAATTTACAGTGACCTGACAAGATAATATCTTTAAATAGCTTGTAACCATAATCACCTTCTCTTATCTGAAAGATTTGTGAATGATCGTCAATATTGTGTGAGGTTTCTGAAAGATTTTTGAATGATCGTAAATACCAGCGCAAGGTTTATGAAAACTTCATTGATAGTTATTGCTTCAAAATATTTCATTTCGAATTAAGATCTGCACTTTTTTACCTCGTCACAAGATCAGAGCGCTGGATGAAATCCATTTTAGGTAAAAATATCGTAGTTGTGCATCTTACAAGACCTTGTGAGAGTTTGACAAAGTCCATTTGGCACAAGGAAAGCCATATTTTGCAATATTTGTCCGGCCCCGAACAAAGGACATTGTGTATGCTAGGTTTGAAGATTTTATAACGTTTCTGTATGTTGTTAAGAACGTTCAGGTTTTCGAAATGTACCAGTCGCCATCTTTTCTGCTACGGGGGATCAAAGATAATTTTTTCTTGAAGATGTTGTTAATAATCTCGGAGATGTTTCTGCCTTATATTCCAAATCAACATTTTGAGCGTAGGGGTTCAGTATTCACTTAAAATGTACCATTCAAGAGCAAACTTTATAGCAGAGTGGCTGAACGCGGGAAATAAAATTAAAAAAAAGAAATGATGCACATGCAGCTTCGAGAGGTGTCGTTACAAGCTTATTGACGCGCACATTATAGCCAGTGTTTGTAGCGAAATTGACTACAGGCGCGTGTTCCATGAAATCCTAGAACGAGTTGCAGGCTACGGTAGCCTACCGTGATGCAGACGCTGTGTGGGCACCAACCTCGTTCCCAGGGTCTCTCATCTTGCCGCCCCCTGGAGCGAACGAGGAGGGGGCGGTAAGATGAGAGACCCTGGGAACGAGGTTGTGTGGGCACGTCACGCAGTGTTTCCGAGAAATGCGTGACGAGTCCAAAGAGAGTGTGCATGGGAGGCTGCAGGCCTACTGCAGCGGCTGAAAAGCAAGAATGGAGATGCCTCGTTCATGTTTGATATCACATAGAGCCTCCACAGAATAGTCGAAGATAAAGGTAAATCCGATTGCGCGAAACATTCTTTACTCTGTGAAAATGGTAAGGAGTAGATTTTTTTACATTAGCAGTAAAAACTCTCCTCATCTTGTCAATAGAAAACGTCCTTGCTGTTTGATTCTTTGATCGACTCTCGCGCGCGGCCTTGCATTCTGATCACGTGAAAACACTGAAGACGTTTGTGACATCACAAATAAATTTGAAGTCATTTTAATCCTTGCATTGAACTTAGATTAGCAATTATTCTCTAACTGAGACAATGATTGTTTAGTTTGAACAAGATATTGTAGAATTTCTCTTCAGCTTCGCCAGCCAACGCGCTGCGAGAAATAATTCTTTGCACGTGATTAGAGCGCGCATTGGCGGAGATTCAACTGAACTTTAACCGAGAAGCGCCACTGTGAGGCTACAGATAGGTGGTCATGTGGCCAGCTTAGATGCAGACAAGAGGGGAGAAGAGGGACTTCTCTTGTGTTTTCCAAGATGTTAGGAGTGATTTCGCGAAATTAAGTTTGCCTCATATTATCAGGGACGAAGCATGGCAGCGACTGGGCCGTATATAATCTACAAATCATCTCAGTTCTGCGCTGCAGTGCGTTCCAATGTTGGTCTTGACCATCCACTTCGAAAGCGAATACAAGAAGTCACATTTTCTTTTCCGAATGGTGAGAACACGATGCCTCCCCGGCTCAATCTGAAAAGTTTGACGACCGCGGTGAATGTCATCTGCCAGCAAGTCAGGGAACGAAAAGAACAATTCTTAATGAAGAGGCAGAAATTAAAACAGACAAGGAGAGGATTAGGCGAAGATTTTTATTCACAGACGAAAGGAAGCAATGAGAGTTGCGAAAATTCGACCAGCTTAACTTCAGACTCGAACATTCGTCTTTTAGAAGCGGCTGGATTTCTGTGGGAAAAGGAGCGAATAACGGATTATGAATTGTACAGGTTAGTCAAGACTGTGACGTGTTTCTTTTTCCTTTAATAGTTTTTTTAATAGCACAATTTGTCGCATCTACATGTAGCTAGAAGTGCGTTTGCTTTTAAAGGACTGCTAACGTTATGAGCTGTTATGCAAGCGCATTTCTTTCAATATTTGACAAGCTTACTGACTGTATTACGATACATCTCTTAGGGTTCTTCAATTATTTTATTGACGGAATCGTTGCTAAACTGTAATTAAACGTCTGGTATTTAATAGTAGTAATTGAGTAGAGCGGTAGCCTCCATGCAAGCGTGTTTGTCTTGCATTGTGGATTATATCAAAATGATGTGTGAAAAATACTACGTGTATCATAACACACATCGGTAAGACTTTGACCATAGTATATATGTAAATGATGTACATGCACTTGCTAAACAGACCTCATTTTTTACATGGAAAATGCGCAAAACTCTTTTCACTCAAGTCAAGTTTTGAACCCTTTACATGTATACTGTCATTCAATTGTCTATAGGAGTGCAGACCAGTGGAATTGTAGTCGATTTGCCCCGCCACTAACCACCAACAATGAGATAAATTAGAGTAAAGTAGTCAAGGACAATTAGCGTTGGCGTTCCTGTTAATGTGCATGTTAGTCTCTCGACATAAGGCTTTGGCTTAATGATCAAACATGTTCATCCAACTGGCATGTACTAAAACGCGAAACAACGAAATGAAACGAGCAAAACGAGTGAAACGAAACCACCAAAACGAAACTACCGAAACGAGTTAAATAGAAGGTAAATAAATAAAAAAAGTTAAAAAAATCCTTGATCTCTAGCACGTTACTATGACAGCCAAATCTCATACCCAGATCCTGCTCTTAAGCCACATGTGTAACATCGTGACATCATAAACCTGAAAGGTGGATGAGCGCAAGTGTGTCGAGCAGGAAGACATCGAGAAAAAGGTGGTATTTACACATTCTAAATGGTATTCTAACTAAAACAGGAAATCTAATTTCGAAGAAAGGTTTTCTGGTCGTACTGTGGATTCTTAGTCGGTGGCGAATCAAATGGTCTTTTCGAGAATGACTTTGCAGCATTCTTCATGCGAACCAGGACTTTCTTTAATGTATATCTCTAAAGAAAAACGAGGGCGACTTGACAGGCTTTAATCATATTAACGTCAGGTCTTTGTGACTCCTGCAGTTCTCAAAGTAATTTCTTATTAGGTGCTCAGCTCTTCATGGATACTCTTGAGATTGTGTTTCCATACATCCTGGGCTTGGGGTTGTCAATTTGCCACCGCCTAAGAATCCACAATACGAACAGGAAACCTTTCTTTGAAATTACATTTCTTGTTTTAGCTAGAATGCCATTCAAAATGTGAAAAATACTCACCTTTTTCTCGAAGTCTTCAAGGTCGTCGTTGACGCCCTTGTGCTTATCCATCTTTCAGGTTTGAGATGTAACGATGTCACACATGTGAATCTGGGTACGAGATCAGGCTGCCATAGTAACGTGCCAGAGATTAGGCTTTTTTTTTTAAACTTTTTCATGTATTTACTTATTATTTTACTTGTTACGGTGGTTTCGCCCGTTTTTGTGGTTTCGTTTTGGTGGTTTCGTTTTGCTCGTTTCAGTGGTTTCATTTCATTGTTTCGGGGTTTAGTACATTCCCATCCAGCTTATCGTGTTTGCCAAACAATGTATTCGAACAATGTTTGTGTATGAACCCAGTGTTGCATGAAATTTGAAAGAAAAAAAAAAGAAGAAAAGAGGAAACCACCCTAAAATTCGTCCAACAACACAATTCAGCATATCCTTTAACACAACATGCGCTGTGTGAGCTATACAATTAAACAAAGTAGACACTTTGCTTGATGGCGAGTTCATTGGTGGTGAGATTCCCTAGTGGTGAGGTGAATGTAATTCAATGTATCAAACATGTGTTGATGGTGTCAGTGACATCAAGAAATCAATGGGTAATCGATGGGTAAAAAGTCGATTAGTCATTGTTTATTGCTGAAGACCAATGAGTAATCAATGGCCACAGAATTTTCAGTCATCGATTAGTCATTGATGGCATTGATGTCACTAATGATTGCACTGTTCAGTTCAGGTGTAGCGTGGTGTGTCAGCGTGTTTGCTGTTGCTTGTTCAATTCAGGCTTAGCGTGGTGGTTCAGTATGTTTGCTGATGCCTGTTCAGCTCAGGCACAGCATGGCGGTTCAGCGTGTTTTACTGTTGCCTGTTCAGTTCAGGTGTAGAGTGGCAGATCAGCATGTTTGCTGTTGCTTGTTCTGTTCAGGCATAGGTTGGCGGTTCAGTGTGTTTTACTGTCTCTTGTTCAGTTCAGGCTAAGTATGGTGCTACAGCGTGTTTACTGTTGCCACTGCCAATAGTGGAAGTTCCTGGATGTCTCCATTTAGTGATGCAGATGTTAAATGTAGTTAAGTGCAATTTAACAAAGAGCGCTTACGTTGCCTTGGTATATGCAGCAGGATTCCGTGGGCTCTTGGACTGAGATGTGTTTGCAGCCTTTGCAGCGATAACGTTTACAGTGAGCATTGTTTTGCATGGTAGCACTTCTTCAAGCGTTCTCCCTCCTTCCCCTCCCTTTTTCCACTGTTCATTCAGTGTGTGACAGATGCTTGTCTCCCCTTTCTGCATGGCAGCTCATGGCTTGGTTTCCAGGATTTGCCAGCCATGGGAGTGGTCTCTATCTAGGAGTGGAAGCTCCAAGTTGTCTCAGGCACCCAACCTCCATTTAGTAATGTAGTTGTTAAACAGAAAAATCAGTGATAGTAAAGAACAAATGCTGGAAAATCATAATAGATATATAATAATATGGGTATAATCAATCAATCATTTTACAATAACTGCAGAAATTCTCGTGCGCTCATTAGCTAATTTTCATTGTCGATGTGCGGACAGACAAATGAATTCATAATTTATGCGATGCGTCAAAGAGCGAGAACGGACAATTTGACAATTTGTTATCGTAAAAAAACAAATTGGCGTCAGTTTTTATACGTCTGTCCTGTTATTGACAATGAATTTCGTCATAACATTGTCAAAGAAGTCTGTGGATCCACTCCGCTATCGCTTTGTGGATCCACAGCTACTTTGACAATGTTATGACAAAATTCATCATCAATAATAGGACAGACGCATGAAAAACTGACGTCAATTTGTTAAATGGATAATCAGTAGCTAATCAATGAGTTGTCAGTAGCCTTGATGATTAATCACTGACATTGATGAGTAATAATTGATTACTGATGTCAATGATTAGTCATCAATAGGCCGCAAAAATTCTGGTCATTGATTAGTCATCGATTACCCATTGATCATCTCCAATAATCAATGATTGACCAGTTGATTACTCATTGATCACCCATCAGTTACTCATTGATGTCACTGACTGTCAATTAGTTACAGTATGTCTGGTTTATTGGCGCAAGACTAAGTTAGTTTTTCTGAAAGTGTCTGAAAGTGTCTGAAAGTCTTTTGTTGTGTTATGGTTATGCTCTCATGGACCATAGGACTTGCCCACTGAGCATGCAAGAATTATGTCAGTTAAATATTTGATTGTTCCTTAGGTGCAAAAAGGACATCAGATTGGAAAACACTAAAAAGAGGAAACGTGAGAAAGACAATAGTAATGGAGAAAAATGGGAAAAGTTTATAAATCAGAAGCAGTTAGAGGTGTGGAGGAGGCCTGTTGATACCACTGGCTTGTTTGAATACAAAGGTATGAGCAAATGAGTTAGTTTACTATTATTAATTTGCTGTTCAGTGATTGAGTGTGATATGGCAAAAAATACGTGCGGACTTACAGTCTGAGAAGTGTGTGATAACTTGTATAAAATTTTATAATTTTATAATTATATTTTTCTTAGTTGGTGCACTTCTGTGCACACAGATAACTAAAGATCTTAAAACAGTCCATAACAAAAATCAAGTTTTAAATTTTTTCCTACGTTCTGTTTGTAGTGTTTGGCACCTTCTTTGACATCAATGCAATGTCCTTTTACAGAACACAGGTATGCCTGAATGTGCTTTAGTGACCAGCAAAATTTGTAAATAATTATACTGGGTAAAAATAGCCATACAGATACGCTGCAATTTAATCTTTTCCCAGGAAATCCAGTCTCCATACATATTCATGTACATGTTGTGTTTCTTGTTGTGCTAGTAAGAGCTACATGTATAAATGGAAGGGTTCAAACCTTCTTGGTTGTGGCATTGCTTAAGATTAATATGTGGCCTTGTGTGCCAAGGTTTCAGATACATGTACACTGTATAGATATGTAGATATCATAAAATAATATTTTCTTAGATTTGACTAAAATGGATTTACAATGGAAAAAAGTAAAAATTAGTAATACATGTACAGTGTAATACTGGCAGATTGTTCAACAATTTTCAAATGCCAGACACTATTGAAAAATACAAGTCCACTGTGAGGAACAAGTTTTGTTTTATGTCATTATTTTGTTTTGATTCAGGTTGATAATGAATACCGCATAGCCTGGGACCAGTTTGTTTTGAAACTAGATGTTGTTGATTCAGATCCTCTGAGTGGCAGTGAAGTTCTTCACTGGGTCACAAAATTTCCTGTAAGTAGGGCATTGAAAAGCACATTTAGGCATGAATTCCTTTTTTTGGTAACTACATTGAACATATGGTTTGTTCTACTATACTTGCGCAGCCTTCTCAAAATCAGCCGGCTGCCGGCTCAAGGACCTTCTTCCTCTGGAGGTTTGACTGTCTCCTTCTAGTTGGGAAAATATATTAAGGTAATGATGAAACTCATGCCATGCCATCTGACAGGGTGTGGAAAAAAATGACAAATTATGCGGAAATTTTTGGTTGGGAAATGCAGAAAATCCGAAAAATGCATCAAATATGCGGAAAACAAACAGGATTATGTGGAACAATTTCAACAGTCGACAAAACTGATAAGTTAATAACTCCTTCTGAATGTACTGAACAACAGTGAAACGAAAAGCATGTCAAAATCTTACCCACAATTTAAGCTCGTTAATGTCGAAATTTAAGCTCTCATGACAAATTTACAACACCAACTGTCTCGTGTAAATCAAACCTACAATTTTGCAACCAAGTTTTAGGTGTTTTGTACACAGAATAATTCATAGGGTTCAGTTGTTGAAGGCTTATCGCATGTGACAATGTTGTACCTTTTCATGTACTGTACATTTCTGTTCTGTTTCTTTTTCCTTGACATTCTTAGTACCCTCTGAGGAGTAGAGACTATGTTTTTGTGAGAAGAGGAAAGGTAAGCATTTATTATTTTTCTTTATAATCCAGAATTTTTTTAACTGCAGGCACTGGAGATATACATTAGCCTTATAAATTAAATAGTGTGAAACTTAATTTCAGACTACATGTATATTGATACATGGAGTGTTGGAGAGAGGTTGGCCTATTGGTTAGTGAGCTGGGCTCCAGATGCAACCCCCCTTATAGAGTCACTTTTGCTTGTTCTTGGTGCCTCTTTCTGCACATTTGTATCTTTACACACTGGCAAATTTAGTGCAGGAGTGTAACCTGTGATGAACTAGCATCCCAACCAGGGAATAGCGGAAATAATTTTACCGTTATGGTAATGATCTGATTTAACGCCCGGGGCGCTTATTTACTTTTGGTACCCCAAGGGACGGCACTTATTCAAGGCAGGGCGCTTATTTGGGACAGGGTGCTTTTTCCTTTTTTGAGAAACAATTGAATGTTCAGAACAAAATTTTAATATGTTATTTATTAAAAAAGGAACAGCAACAGAAACAATAACAACAACAACAGTTGTTGTTGTTATCGTTTCTGTAACAGTAACAAATATATGGTGAATGTTCAGTTAACGTGAGGGAATTTTAATCTGTTTTGATGTTGATACATGTAGCTTTGACAGTGTCACTTTTGGTACCTTGATACGTAAATAAAAGCTTTCTGGTGCGGCATCGTTGACATCAGACCTGGTGATCCCGTCGAAAGGATCCTTGTCATGGCTTGTTCTAACCCTGCATGCCAAGGCTGATTTTCCTTGACGCAGCACTTGAATAATATTAGCATAGAGGCGCTTATCAGAATGGGGGCGCTTATTGGAATAGGGGTGCTTATTAATAAAAACACATTCGAAGGGGGGCACTTATTCAAAAGGGGCACTTATTGGAAGGAGGACGCTAAATCGAATCATTACGGTAGTTGCTTCATGATTTTAAGTGCTAGCCTGGCACACCATAAAGATAGGCAGTCAGGAGGTTTCATTAAGGGCTGGGCACCGGGCAAATTGACCAGCTGTGACGATGATTTTGCCGGCCTATATGTACGTGTAACTTGACCATCTTGGTCCTCTTGCTGAAAACCCTAATGAAAACCCTGGACAGTATAGTATTCTTTTGTATTGTATTTAGCAATTATTTGCCAAAGGCGAAGTGAACATTGGTGAATATTCACCGAGACGAGGTGGAGGTGAATATTCACCAATGTTCACTGAGCCTGAGGCGAATAATTGTTTTAGTATAATTTTCAGAGGTGAACATCAAGGACTACAAAATAACAGACTAAAACATAAAAACACAGACGCAATTGTTCGTGTGCATACATGTATGCAGCTGTAGTTTTAATAATAAGCTTACATGTACATTGATTGTCAATCAATTTACTCATCAAGTGCGGCAGTAAAACAAATGAGTGAAACACTAAGAAAAATAATTTCATCCTGTACCTTTGTTTTATCGTTGTTGACTTCATTCACAGTTGTCATCATCGCCTAAAAACGAGCAGCTTTAGTTTGTAGAAAAACAAATTTCGGTCAATCGATCTGACCAGCTGGCAATCGATGCAACCACTGCGTTTACGATTCTTAAAAACCTTGAATACGAGTTCTTGAAAAGATTTTTGGTCCAAGGGCGACAGCAGTCATTTTGAAAATTCTCCATCCTTTCAANCTGCTCTTAAGCCACATGTGTAACATCGTGACATCATAAACCTGAAAGGTGGATGAGCGCAAGTGTGTCGAGCAGGAAGACATCGAGAAAAAGGTGGTATTTACACATTCTAAATGGTATTCTAACTAAAACAGGAAATCTAATTTCGAAGAAAGGTTTTCTGGTCGTACTGTGGATTCTTAGTCGGTGGCGAATCAAATGGTCTTTTCGAGAATGACTTTGCAGCATTCTTCATGCGAACCAGGACTTTCTTTAATGTATATCTCTAAAGAAAAACGAGGGCGACTTGACAGGCTTTAATCATATTAACGTCAGGTCTTTGTGACTCCTGCAGTTCTCAAAGTAATTTCTTATTAGGTGCTCAGCTCTTCATGGATACTCTTGAGATTGTGTTTCCATACATCCTGGGCTTGGGGTTGTCAATTTGCCACCGCCTAAGAATCCACAATACGAACAGGAAACCTTTCTTTGAAATTACATTTCTTGTTTTAGCTAGAATGCCATTCAAAATGTGAAAAATACTCACCTTTTTCTCGAAGTCTTCAAGGTCGTCGTTGACGCCCTTGTGCTTATCCATCTTTCAGGTTTGAGATGTAACGATGTCACACATGTGAATCTGGGTACGAGATCAGGCTGCCATAGTAACGTGCCAGAGATTAGGCTTTTTTTTTTAAACTTTTTCATGTATTTACTTATTATTTTACTTGTTACGGTGGTTTCGCCCGTTTTTGTGGTTTCGTTTTGGTGGTTTCGTTTTGCTCGTTTCAGTGGTTTCATTTCATTGTTTCGGGGTTTAGTACATTCCCATCCAGCTTATCGTGTTTGCCAAACAATGTATTCGAACAATGTTTGTGTATGAACCCAGTGTTGCATGAAATTTGAAAGAAAAAAAAAAGAAGAAAAGAGGAAACCACCCTAAAATTCGTCCAACAACACAATTCAGCATATCCTTTAACACAACATGCGCTGTGTGAGCTATACAATTAAACAAAGTAGACACTTTGCTTGATGGCGAGTTCATTGGTGGTGAGATTCCCTAGTGGTGAGGTGAATGTAATTCAATGTATCAAACATGTGTTGATGGTGTCAGTGACATCAAGAAATCAATGGGTAATCGATGGGTAAAAAGTCGATTAGTCATTGTTTATTGCTGAAGACCAATGAGTAATCAATGGCCACAGAATTTTCAGTCATCGATTAGTCATTGATGGCATTGATGTCACTAATGATTGCACTGTTCAGTTCAGGTGTAGCGTGGTGTGTCAGCGTGTTTGCTGTTGCTTGTTCAATTCAGGCTTAGCGTGGTGGTTCAGTATGTTTGCTGATGCCTGTTCAGCTCAGGCACAGCATGGCGGTTCAGCGTGTTTTACTGTTGCCTGTTCAGTTCAGGTGTAGAGTGGCAGATCAGCATGTTTGCTGTTGCTTGTTCTGTTCAGGCATAGGTTGGCGGTTCAGTGTGTTTTACTGTCTCTTGTTCAGTTCAGGCTAAGTATGGTGCTACAGCGTGTTTACTGTTGCCACTGCCAATAGTGGAAGTTCCTGGATGTCTCCATTTAGTGATGCAGATGTTAAATGTAGTTAAGTGCAATTTAACAAAGAGCGCTTACGTTGCCTTGGTATATGCAGCAGGATTCCGTGGGCTCTTGGACTGAGATGTGTTTGCAGCCTTTGCAGCGATAACGTTTACAGTGAGCATTGTTTTGCATGGTAGCACTTCTTCAAGCGTTCTCCCTCCTTCCCCTCCCTTTTTCCACTGTTCATTCAGTGTGTGACAGATGCTTGTCTCCCCTTTCTGCATGGCAGCTCATGGCTTGGTTTCCAGGATTTGCCAGCCATGGGAGTGGTCTCTATCTAGGAGTGGAAGCTCCAAGTTGTCTCAGGCACCCAACCTCCATTTAGTAATGTAGTTGTTAAACAGAAAAATCAGTGATAGTAAAGAACAAATGCTGGAAAATCATAATAGATATATAATAATATGGGTATAATCAATCAATCATTTTACAATAACTGCAGAAATTCTCGTGCGCTCATTAGCTAATTTTCATTGTCGATGTGCGGACAGACAAATGAATTCATAATTTATGCGATGCGTCAAAGAGCGAGAACGGACAATTTGACAATTTGTTATCGTAAAAAAACAAATTGGCGTCAGTTTTTATACGTCTGTCCTGTTATTGACAATGAATTTCGTCATAACATTGTCAAAGAAGTCTGTGGATCCACTCCGCTATCGCTTTGTGGATCCACAGCTACTTTGACAATGTTATGACAAAATTCATCATCAATAATAGGACAGACGCATGAAAAACTGACGTCAATTTGTTAAATGGATAATCAGTAGCTAATCAATGAGTTGTCAGTAGCCTTGATGATTAATCACTGACATTGATGAGTAATAATTGATTACTGATGTCAATGATTAGTCATCAATAGGCCGCAAAAATTCTGGTCATTGATTAGTCATCGATTACCCATTGATCATCTCCAATAATCAATGATTGACCAGTTGATTACTCATTGATCACCCATCAGTTACTCATTGATGTCACTGACTGTCAATTAGTTACAGTATGTCTGGTTTATTGGCGCAAGACTAAGTTAGTTTTTCTGAAAGTGTCTGAAAGTGTCTGAAAGTCTTTTGTTGTGTTATGGTTATGCTCTCATGGACCATAGGACTTGCCCACTGAGCATGCAAGAATTATGTCAGTTAAATATTTGATTGTTCCTTAGGTGCAAAAAGGACATCAGATTGGAAAACACTAAAAAGAGGAAACGTGAGAAAGACAATAGTAATGGAGAAAAATGGGAAAAGTTTATAAATCAGAAGCAGTTAGAGGTGTGGAGGAGGCCTGTTGATACCACTGGCTTGTTTGAATACAAAGGTATGAGCAAATGAGTTAGTTTACTATTATTAATTTGCTGTTCAGTGATTGAGTGTGATATGGCAAAAAATACGTGCGGACTTACAGTCTGAGAAGTGTGTGATAACTTGTATAAAATTTTATAATTTTATAATTATATTTTTCTTAGTTGGTGCACTTCTGTGCACACAGATAACTAAAGATCTTAAAACAGTCCATAACAAAAATCAAGTTTTAAATTTTTTCCTACGTTCTGTTTGTAGTGTTTGGCACCTTCTTTGACATCAATGCAATGTCCTTTTACAGAACACAGGTATGCCTGAATGTGCTTTAGTGACCAGCAAAATTTGTAAATAATTATACTGGGTAAAAATAGCCATACAGATACGCTGCAATTTAATCTTTTCCCAGGAAATCCAGTCTCCATACATATTCATGTACATGTTGTGTTTCTTGTTGTGCTAGTAAGAGCTACATGTATAAATGGAAGGGTTCAAACCTTCTTGGTTGTGGCATTGCTTAAGATTAATATGTGGCCTTGTGTGCCAAGGTTTCAGATACATGTACACTGTATAGATATGTAGATATCATAAAATAATATTTTCTTAGATTTGACTAAAATGGATTTACAATGGAAAAAAGTAAAAATTAGTAATACATGTACAGTGTAATACTGGCAGATTGTTCAACAATTTTCAAATGCCAGACACTATTGAAAAATACAAGTCCACTGTGAGGAACAAGTTTTGTTTTATGTCATTATTTTGTTTTGATTCAGGTTGATAATGAATACCGCATAGCCTGGGACCAGTTTGTTTTGAAACTAGATGTTGTTGATTCAGATCCTCTGAGTGGCAGTGAAGTTCTTCACTGGGTCACAAAATTTCCTGTAAGTAGGGCATTGAAAAGCACATTTAGGCATGAATTCCTTTTTTTGGTAACTACATTGAACATATGGTTTGTTCTACTATACTTGCGCAGCCTTCTCAAAATCAGCCGGCTGCCGGCTCAAGGACCTTCTTCCTCTGGAGGTTTGACTGTCTCCTTCTAGTTGGGAAAATATATTAAGGTAATGATGAAACTCATGCCATGCCATCTGACAGGGTGTGGAAAAAAATGACAAATTATGCGGAAATTTTTGGTTGGGAAATGCAGAAAATCCGAAAAATGCATCAAATATGCGGAAAACAAACAGGATTATGTGGAACAATTTCAACAGTCGACAAAACTGATAAGTTAATAACTCCTTCTGAATGTACTGAACAACAGTGAAACGAAAAGCATGTCAAAATCTTACCCACAATTTAAGCTCGTTAATGTCGAAATTTAAGCTCTCATGACAAATTTACAACACCAACTGTCTCGTGTAAATCAAACCTACAATTTTGCAACCAAGTTTTAGGTGTTTTGTACACAGAATAATTCATAGGGTTCAGTTGTTGAAGGCTTATCGCATGTGACAATGTTGTACCTTTTCATGTACTGTACATTTCTGTTCTGTTTCTTTTTCCTTGACATTCTTAGTACCCTCTGAGGAGTAGAGACTATGTTTTTGTGAGAAGAGGAAAGGTAAGCATTTATTATTTTTCTTTATAATCCAGAATTTTTTTAACTGCAGGCACTGGAGATATACATTAGCCTTATAAATTAAATAGTGTGAAACTTAATTTCAGACTACATGTATATTGATACATGGAGTGTTGGAGAGAGGTTGGCCTATTGGTTAGTGAGCTGGGCTCCAGATGCAACCCCCCTTATAGAGTCACTTTTGCTTGTTCTTGGTGCCTCTTTCTGCACATTTGTATCTTTACACACTGGCAAATTTAGTGCAGGAGTGTAACCTGTGATGAACTAGCATCCCAACCAGGGAATAGCGGAAATAATTTTACCGTTATGGTAATGATCTGATTTAACGCCCGGGGCGCTTATTTACTTTTGGTACCCCAAGGGACGGCACTTATTCAAGGCAGGGCGCTTATTTGGGACAGGGTGCTTTTTCCTTTTTTGAGAAACAATTGAATGTTCAGAACAAAATTTTAATATGTTATTTATTAAAAAAGGAACAGCAACAGAAACAATAACAACAACAACAGTTGTTGTTGTTATCGTTTCTGTAACAGTAACAAATATATGGTGAATGTTCAGTTAACGTGAGGGAATTTTAATCTGTTTTGATGTTGATACATGTAGCTTTGACAGTGTCACTTTTGGTACCTTGATACGTAAATAAAAGCTTTCTGGTGCGGCATCGTTGACATCAGACCTGGTGATCCCGTCGAAAGGATCCTTGTCATGGCTTGTTCTAACCCTGCATGCCAAGGCTGATTTTCCTTGACGCAGCACTTGAATAATATTAGCATAGAGGCGCTTATCAGAATGGGGGCGCTTATTGGAATAGGGGTGCTTATTAATAAAAACACATTCGAAGGGGGGCACTTATTCAAAAGGGGCACTTATTGGAAGGAGGACGCTAAATCGAATCATTACGGTAGTTGCTTCATGATTTTAAGTGCTAGCCTGGCACACCATAAAGATAGGCAGTCAGGAGGTTTCATTAAGGGCTGGGCACCGGGCAAATTGACCAGCTGTGACGATGATTTTGCCGGCCTATATGTACGTGTAACTTGACCATCTTGGTCCTCTTGCTGAAAACCCTAATGAAAACCCTGGACAGTATAGTATTCTTTTGTATTGTATTTAGCAATTATTTGCCAAAGGCGAAGTGAACATTGGTGAATATTCACCGAGACGAGGTGGAGGTGAATATTCACCAATGTTCACTGAGCCTGAGGCGAATAATTGTTTTAGTATAATTTTCAGAGGTGAACATCAAGGACTACAAAATAACAGACTAAAACATAAAAACACAGACGCAATTGTTCGTGTGCATACATGTATGCAGCTGTAGTTTTAATAATAAGCTTACATGTACATTGATTGTCAATCAATTTACTCATCAAGTGCGGCAGTAAAACAAATGAGTGAAACACTAAGAAAAATAATTTCATCCTGTACCTTTGTTTTATCGTTGTTGACTTCATTCACAGTTGTCATCATCGCCTAAAAACGAGCAGCTTTAGTTTGTAGAAAAACAAATTTCGGTCAATCGATCTGACCAGCTGGCAATCGATGCAACCACTGCGTTTACGATTCTTAAAAACCTTGAATACGAGTTCTTGAAAAGATTTTTGGTCCAAGGGCGACAGCAGTCATTTTGAAAATTCTCCATCCTTTCAAATATACTGGACTTGGAGTGATAAATGAAAACTTCATTCAGTAACTGTCCGCCATGTTTACTTGCTGAGATGGCAAAGATGGTGAGGTTAGTAACCAAGCTCCAGCAGGGTGAATATAGCGTCACATGATGAGCTTTTCGACCAATCAGAATGTCCAATTCTTATATTCACTTCTGGAAATTATACTAATGATTAATACTACTTAAAATAAATTTACGTTACTTTCTACCTAATATGTAATTAAGCAGAACTTTTAGACTCAATACCTTTCTTTTAAACCATAATTTATTTTCTGCTAAAAGCTGTACTGACGTTTTTTTGGTACATGTTCCTGTATATTATTATTATTATATTATTATTTTATTGTGCATAAAATTTATGTGGTTTATTAGTGCCATCATACATGTAAATGTAGGTTTATTTACATGTATGGGGTGTGCAGACCACTTAAAGTTTGAAAGTGCTGTTCAATATTTTGCTGAGAGGTATTCTTCACTCTTTCTTTTAGATTGATCATCGGTCAATGACAATGGTTCTGATATCAAGGTGAGTAGTATCACTGCAATGCAGTGATGTTGCAGCTTTTTGTTGTTTCCCTTACTTGGACTGGGTCTGGGGTGGTGGTAAGAGTACTTTCTGCAAGACAATATTTAACATAAGATACCAGGAGATAAGAATTTTGATTAAAAAACGGTGCACCAGTTTATTTAACAATTAGACCCGTAGCCCGCAAGGGCTACGGGTCAATAGCCCATGCGGCAAAGCTGAATGGGCTATTGACCCGTGGCCCTTGAGGGCGAAGGGTCTAATTGTTTTAGTATCACCCAACTAGTCGGACAGACAAGGTAATAACAAAGTTGGCAAATGCAAGTTGAAGAAATATTTATTTGGGAATAAAACGAAAGAAAGCGTCATGCTCGATGGCGCCAGTTCCGCTACTTGATGACTATTACTAATAGTCCCCTAGTAGTGTAGCCAATCAAAATGCAGGATTTGCATTGGTCCACTAGTTGGGTGATACTAAATGATATTATTACTTAGTAGTTGGACTTTAAGTTCCTCTTTGACTATAGCCATCTAGTTGACTTAGATGGCAATCTTTCAGTGAGAAAGTTTGAAGAAAGTCAGAAGTCTTAAAGTGCCTCTATGATCAAATTCTCGATACTCATTTTTTTAAATTTTCGGATGCAATAGGCCTTCTCTAGATATCTTGGTAAATTTCAACCTATTATGAACATTAGAACCCATGTTTTTTAGACCTTTATTTCCGAGAATTTACGGCCTTCATCACTTTTCCTTGTTCCAAGTCTTGGTTGAGAATTGGAGAAAATGACGTCATTTTCTCAAAAATACCTCACAGGTTGAAATTATAATAACAATTAGTGCAGCAATTCCTATAAAGGATAACAAAAACTTTGGCTCATTTATTCGTGCAATTTTCTACATTAATAAATTATTAAATTATAATAACAATTATTGTTATTATAGTTTCAACCCGTGCAGTATTTTTGAGAAAATGACATCATTTCCTCAGATTCTCAACCAAGACTTGGAACAAGGAAAATTAATGGTGGCCGTAAATTCTCGAAAATAAAGGTCCGAAAACCGCGAGTTCTAATGTTCATAATAGATTGACATTAAGTAAAATACATGTATCTAGGAAAGACCTGTTGTGTATGAAAATGTAAAAAAATGGATGTAGAGAATTTCATCATAGTGGCACTTTAGTCCTTAAGCAAAATACCCCTTGGAAGTTAAATCTTGAAGAAATCATTAAAGTCCACCATGTGGGCACTTAAGTTAAAGGTCAAACATAAATGTATTTTGAATTCCTGTCATAAGCTTGTTATTGGTGGTAAAAAAAACTCTCTATGTACAATGTGAATGAGTATAGATTTATCTTTGTTTGTTGTTGAATTTTACTTCATCAGGGCAACTGAGCACCCTCTGTGTCCAGAAAATGGTGAATATGTCCGAGTGCCAAGTTACAATTCCAGCATGGTTATTTTACCACACAAAACATTTGATGAGGTGAGGAACAAACCACTGACTTCTACAAAATAATAATCATATTGATGTACCAGAAATGACACCAGTAAAAAATAGTAATAAAAGTAACCATAAAGTGTATGCGAGTGATATTCCCCTAATTTCGGATTCCGAGTGTTGTAGAAAACATTTGGATAATAAACACACTGGCATCCATTTGACTTTTAAAAATATGCTTTCATATTATATTTTGTCTTTGGATATTAGCTGTTCCTCAGAGTTCACAGTTGTCGCCTCTCAGATCAGACAATGTGTGCAGACAAATATCGGAATCCCAGCATATTTTTCGTGCCGAATGGAGGTTATTATAATAATATAATAGATGTACATCTTTGTCATTGTACCAGCAGCATTGTACAATAAAACATGTGTTGTGAAGCCAATAAATTATTATTTTCTCTTTTATTCTGTTTATTTATGTAGGATGGGTTTGACTTTGTCTTGTCATACTTTGATGATCCAAAGACCAGCTTTCCATCATACTGCATGAATATTTTGACAAGCTCAAGTAAGTTTCACCACAACCTGTAGTACCTTGTTGCTGTTCGTGTAAGATTCTCTAAACAGCTTAGGATACTTGTTCCCAGCTCACTATTTTTCTCTCTCTCACGATGCTCTATACCAGGGTCCGAAATTAACTTTTTTAGGCAGGCGCCAACTGGCGACTGAAATTTTTCTTTTCAGTCGCCATATGGAAAAATGTGGTCGCCAAAAAGTGTCAATAAAATTTTTCCTTCGCAGCCAAATACAAACCAAAATTTTTGGTCGCCAGATGGAAAATTCTGCTCGGCAATTTTTCTTTTAAGAATCGGAACGAAGAGAACGTATTTGGGCCCGCAATGATAGTGATTTTTCCGCTAACGATAAGATTAAATACAAACACGCTGATTATTTAAACACCTACCACTGAAAACCCACGACGAACGAATCGAATGCCGGCCATATACGCAGTTTCGTGAGACTGCCAAATGTTTCAAGTCAATTTTATACCTTCTCTTGTCTCTACCTTTTGGAGAAGAAATGTACCCGACTGAAAACTGCCATTTGGTTCTTTGCTC